TTGCCGCTGGTGGGTGGGGGGGGGGGGGGGGGGGGGTTCTGACATGTTGGTGTTTTATCTTTCATGTGGATGTTTTAAATATAGCTGGATAAAACAAAAACTGTGTCCGTCTTCATTTCAGGCTGCAAAGCAACAAAATGTGATTATTTTAGAGGGGGGCTGATTCTTTTCTATACACACTGTATCATTTGTTAGCAGAACATTCCTATTGTGCATCATTTCCGATTTTTTTTATTTTTTTTCAATTGTGCAAAGTGTGAAAATATAATTTTATTAGTGTTCAGATGCATAAAATGCTTGTGATGAAATTAGCTTAAATGAGTTGAAGATGGACATTTTATTCCACAAATGTTTAAAATGCAATTTCTACCACAGATTGAATTGTCATTTAAGATGTGGCGGAAATGACAATGTATGTCCATTATTGGACATTATTGGTTAGTAGACGAATTAAATGAACTAGTAAGAGTGTGAAATGTCTGTTTTAGGAAAATCTTTTTTCTAAGTCCAAAAAACTTGCTGGTTAAAGGAATTTGCACAAAAATCAATCCTGTCATTAATTACTCACCATGTTGTTTTCGGCAGCTCTTTTCCGTACATCATTTCATGCACTATATTCCAAGCCGTTAGAAGGATGCTTTGAGGAAGACACGTTTGAGTTATTAGTCAAGAAAAATCCTTGCCTTTTTTCACATTCATATCCAGAATACAAAATTAGCCTATTGTGTTCGGACATGTGAACCAGTGCAATTTTGGCATCAATTCTTGGACACGCTGTTTACTCTTATGGTTATCTGTGGTGTTATTAGTCATTTTTGAGAAATGTCTACTTTGTGTTCGAGAGAAAAAACCTGCAGCATTCAGGGTTATGAAATGTTAAAGTGAACTTTAAAAGCAAACCTTTAAAGCAAACAAATGAATGTTTGATGGAAAGAAGAACTAAAAAATAAATCCTCTGTTAATGTTCAGAAACTGTGTGGAATTCAAGGTTTCAAATACTTTCTATGCAGAAAGTAGTGTTCTTCTGCTTTGTTTCCACTCATTCTTTCTTTCTTTCTTTCTGGTGGGATTATGTGTGTGTGTGTGTGTGTGTGTGTGTGTGTGTGTGTGTGTGTGTGTGTGTGTGTGTGTGAGAAAACACACTGAGTCTGCGAGTCTGCGGAGGAGTATCTATGTCACTCTCTCTCTCTCTCTCTCTCTCTCCGTCTTTCTCCTCCTGCTCTGTACTTGCAGTTTTTCCACCCTCCCACTTCTCTCTCTCTTTATTTGTCTCTCTCTCTCTCCCTCTCAAATGCAAGGCCATGTGGGACGTCTGATGAGGAGTTTCACCCCTCTACGTCTCCAGTTTCATATCTCTCTTTCCCTCTCCACCGTTCTTTGGCTTTCCGTACGGGTTCCTCGAGCTCCGCTGTCTTTGCAAGGTGAAGACCCGCTGGAGACTAGTTTAAAGAGTGTAAGGGGGGAAAAGGGGGAAAGAAAAAACCAGGCTTCTTTTTTTTCTGCCGAGGGCCTCCTGCCTAGAGTGCGACAGAGGCTCCACCACAAGCCTGCCAACACGCTCACATTTTCATGCACCCGATTGCGGAATTTCAGCAAGGTTTGCGGCTGCTTTTGATTCGCGAAGTGCCTATTTTGACATTTTCTCTTTCAATTTCAGTGAGCGGCCGAATCCATCGTGACACGAAGCCCACACCAGCGCAGCGCCAGGGCCCCTCGGAGTGCTGAAAACCTGCGGGATTTGCCATTTGGAAGTACTGACCTGCGACTTACCCGTTCCCGATCCATTCGGACAGGGGATTCAGGAGTGAAGCTGCTCCGCTCTGGGACAGGTGCCAATTGCTCACAAAAGGCGAGTGAAAATATCAGTGATCTGCAAAAGGAAACGTCGGGGGTGAGTGGAAAATGCAAACTCGCATGCGTCCGTGGAACTAACGCAGAAAAAAGTGAAGGATGGTTGCGAGGGGAGGGGAAGACCCCGAAAAAGAGGATCGTGAAAGAGGAGGTGGGGGGCGTTTATTCAAGCCTGCTTGATGCTCCTCGGGCCTTCGAGAGCTGATTGCATGTGCCGCGGTAACCGCGGGACCATTTGCATGCGGCAGACACGCTAATTGTATGTTTGCTAACATGCACCATTCAGCAAGACGCGCTCCAGTTCGCAGACGGGGTTCACACACGCCTCCCAGACGCCTCGGAGGCCTCCTATTGTTCCAGAGGCCCAGCCAAGCAGCCGGCGAGCCTAACCAGAGCCCTGCTCAGGCCTGCCGAGAGGGAGAACTGGAATTCGAGACCAGACGGGATAGCGGGATAGTGGACAGACTCACAGCCCCTCTCTCTTTCTCTCCGCAGCAAGAAAAAAGAGGCCTCCGGACGCTGACGTCCTCGCAGATATGTGTAAGTCACAGCAGCGTGTGCAAATGCATGTGTGTGTGTGTGTGTGCATGCTTTTTTCCTTTTTCGATGCACAGATTGCTCACGCGCTGGTAACGTTTATAACATGCATTTCTGAAGCACAGCATGCGGCGATTAAAATGCACTGATACGGGTCAAATGCACACAACAACAACAAACTACTTTTGTGCATTTTTACTTTTATTGCAGTTTATGAAGCATCGCTCAATTCAGTATTATTCCGAAATGCCTACAAATGCAACAAACTCTGTGATGTGTTCAAAATAAATGTCAGATTACAATTATCTTCATTTGGATGCATTGAAATTTGCGAAAATGCTTATTCTGATACTTTTCAACCATGTTGAAAACTGAAACTTTTGTACGTAACGGCCTTGTATTATTAAATAAAATGGTGAAAGAGGTATTTTTCAGTATTTATATTTAGGTCAAAATGCTGCTGTTTTTTTTTCTTTCTAAATTATAATCGGTAGCAAGAGGTCTGGCTTTACTCTTTGTATCTGGCTTCTATTGAATTACGGTCTTGGTGTGTGTGTGTGTGTGTGTGTGTGTGTGAGAAAACACACTGAGTCTGCGCGCTGGGGGAGGAGTATCTATGTCACTCTCTCTCTCTCTCTCTCTCTCTCCGTCTTTCTCCTCCTGCTCTGTACTTGCAGTTTTTCCACCCTCCCACTTCTCTCTCTCTTTATTTGTCTCTCTCTCTCTCCCTCTCAAATGCAAGGCCATGTGGGACGTCTGATGAGGAGTTTCACCCCTCTACGTCTCCAGTTTCATATCTCTCTTTCCCTCTCCACCGTTCTTTGGCTTTCCGTACGGGTTCCTCGAGCTCCGCTGTCTTTGCAAGGTGAAGACCCGCTGGAGACTAGTTTAAAGAGTGTAAGGGGGGAAAAGGGGGAAAGAAAAAACCAGGCTTCTTTTTTTTCTGCCGAGGGCCTCCTGCCTAGAGTGCGACAGAGGCTCCACCACAAGCCTGCCAACACGCTCACATTTTCATGCACCCGATTGCGGAATTTCAGCAAGGTTTGCGGCTGCTTTTGATTCGCGAAGTGCCTATTTTGACATTTTCTCTTTCAATTTCAGTGAGCGGCCGAATCCATCGTGACACGAAGCCCACACCAGCGCAGCGCCAGGGCCCCTCGGAGTGCTGAAAACCTGCGGGATTTGCCATTTGGAAGTACTGACCTGCGACTTACCCATTCCCGATCCGTTCGCACAGGAGATTCAGGAGTGAAGCTGCTCCGTTTTGGGACAGGTGCCAGTTGCAAAAGGCGAGTGAAAGCATCGGTGATCTGCATGAGGAAACATTGAGGGTGAGCGGAAAACACAAACTCGCAAACGTCCGTGCAACTATCGAAAAAAAAAGTGAAGGATGGTTGCAAGGGGAGGGGGAGACAGAAAAAGTGGATCGTGAAAGAGGAGGTGGGGGGTGTTTATTCAAGCCTGCTTGATGCTCCTCGGGCCTTCGAGAGCTGATTGCATGTGCCGCGGTAACCGCGGGACCATTTGCATGCGGCAGACACGCTAATTGTATGTTTGCTAACATGCACCATTCAGCAAGACGCGCTCCAGTTCGCAGACGGGGTTCACACACGCCTCCCAGACGCCTCGGAGGCCTCCTATTGTTCCAGAGGCCCAGCCAAGCAGCCGGCGAGCCTAACCAGAGCCCTGCTCAGGCCTGCCGAGAGGGAGAACTGGAATTCGAGACCAGACGGGATAGCGGGATAGTGGACAGACTCACAGCCCCTCTCTCTTTCTCTCCGCAGCAAGAAAAAATAGGCCTGTGGAAAGCGCTGCCTCCGGGCGCTGACGTCCTCGCAGATGTGTGTAAGTCACAGCAGCGTATGTGTCCGTGCGTGAATGCATGTGTGTGTGCATGCTTTTTTCCTTTTTCGATGCACAGATTGCTCACGCGCTGGTAACGTTTATAACATGCATTTCTGAAGCACAGCATGCGGCGATTAAAATGCACTGATACGGGTCAAATGCACACAACAACAACAAACTACTTTTGTGCATTTTTACTTTTATTGCAGTTTATGAAGCATCGCTCAATTCAGTATTATTCCGAAATGCCTACAAATGCAACAAACTCTGTGATGTGTTCAAAATAAATGTCAGATTACAATTATCTTCATTTGGATGCATTGAAATTTGCGAAAATGCTTATTCTGATACTTTTCAACCATGTTGAAAACTGAAACTTTTGTACGTAACGGCCTTGTATTATTAAATAAAATGGTGAAAGAGGTATTTTTCAGTATTTATATTTAGGTCAAAATGCTGCTGTTTTTTTTTCTTTCTAAATTATAATCGGTAGCAAGAGGTCTGGCTTTACTCTTTGTATCTGGCTTCTATTGAATTACGGTCTTGGCAGCAGAACTGGGCCTTTGATCCACCGTACTCTGCCAACTGATTTTATTTATTGCAATCTTTTTCTCCTTTGAATTTAAATATATTTATTTTAATTGCTATTGCATATACAGTGATTTTTATTTGTGTGCTTTTTGATCAAAAATATTTGAAACCTACAGAATGCACATGTGGTTTGCACTTTTAAGGTAAAATGTTTGCACCATGCATTTAAAAAGCAACAAAAATATTATATATAGCTGATTATGCTTTAACACATTTATGATTAAATTAATATCTAGCAAAGCTCGGGAGATTTATTTATTTTTTTAAATAATTTTTTAATTTTTAAGACAAATCCCTACATCCCTACATTTTAAATATAACTCGCACATCTATATGTATAAGGGTATTCCATGAATTAAAAATAAATATTGAGACACTTGATTTTATACATATATTCCCTAAATAATATTACAGTGAATTCTGAAACTTGACCAATATTTATTTACTATCGGTTATTTATGATTTATAGAATTCCGGATTGTATTTTTTGTAAAGGTGGTTTTTTTCTGATAATTGTCAGGCAGTTTTTAGGATATTCTGTTGTAATGCGTGGGGTGTAGATTTATGCCTTCCAGCCAAATACTCCTGCTATAACTGTTATTGTGGGTGTGGAATAATTCAACTGGATTCCCAGATTGTGTGTGTGTGTGTGTGTGGGGGGGGGGGGGTTTTTACCTGCAGTTGTCGTTGATTTTGCTGATTTTGCAACTTCTCTGTGGTTGGCAAAGAACTGCTAAAGCAAGAACAGGGCACTTCATCCAATGTGGAGACTTGAAACATTTTAATTGTGAAATGTATGTTAGTTCCGCATGCACACACACACACACACACACACACACACTTAGAGGTTCTTCAAAAATACATATTTATCACAGTAAAAATGTAGTAGACTGCTTAGAATTGAATTTCGGAATAGTTCTAAATATTTGCATCTTGATTGGTCAGGCACACAGTGAGAAGTACTTCAAAAATACATATTTGTTATGGTAAAAAATTTAGTACACAGCTTAGAATTGAATTTCGGGATAGTTCTAAATATTTGTGAACTTCATTGGTCTCACACACACACTCTTAACTTTGTTTAAGTACTGTCTTAAGTCCTGATTTTATTTCATAATTTAAATAAACTTTTAAAACACACACACACACACACACACACACTCACACACACACACACACACACACACACGGTCTGCAGTGAATGGGTCTCATTCCTCAGTAGTTTGGGCCTCAGTGTGTGTGAAGTTCAAGTCCACCATTTTGATTCAGTGTGTGAATCGAGCTCTATCGGTACTTTTAGTCAATATGGATACAAAAAATGTATATATATCTATTGTATTGACAAAATTAAACAGACCCCAGAATAATTTTTTAATAGTTGCCACTATATTTTAAGAAAAGTAATTTCCTGTCAAAAAAAGTTTATTTACTAAAACACACCCACGCACACTCTTAACTTTGTTTAAGTACTGTCTTAAGTCCTGATTTTATTTCATAATTTAAATAAACTTTTAAAATGTTTTTGCAATTATTTTGTGCACATGAAAACTGAAAACTGAAACACTGGCTTATATCAGTGTATGTACACACACTTTTACCTTTATTTTGAAGATTAACTTAGATAAAAGTGATCAATAAATTAAATGAAGGTTTGTTTTTTAATTTGAGATTAGAGTCTATTTGAATTATAATTAGCTTTATGTCAAATCTGCATACTTTTATGAATAATATATGTAAAATATATGTGTGTGTTTTGCATTGTCTTCAGTGTGTGTGTGTGTGTGCGTGTGTGATTTAAATTTTTTACATTTTAAATATATTCCAAACTAAACTAGCAAACACACAATGACCAGAATCACAGATATTATAACGCATATAACATTTTGTGACACTTTAGTGTGTGATTTTGAATGGTTGTCTATTAGCATGTGTATTGTCTAACCTACTGTATACAGTTTAGTCCCAAATAACAGAGCAGAATGTTTAGTATTGTTTGCGTTTATGATGCACTGCGGAGCCATTTATTCTACTGCATTTTATTTTTGGCTTAATCTATTGAAGTATTTTTAATCCTATTACATTTGTAGTTATTGTCTTTGTTTCTGATGTTTTGCATATAATGTGTTATCAGTGTGATACAAACACACTTCTTATAAATATACTGCACACGTTTGTGAAATATAATGACTTATATTTCATCATAGTTTGTTGCTCTTCTCCAAAGTCTGAGCTTTCATTGAGTTCACCACAACGTTAGGATCATTTGTGTTAGCTGACAGATTTATTGGGTCATTTACTGCTAGATAATCCTTTGTTGCACAGTTGTTAGTCACAAAACGGATTTACACATCTTTCCGTGTTTTTGCAATTTGCACCAAATGTTTTGCAGAAAAGTGAGACAAAAAAAATACAAAGAAGAAAGAGTGTAATCATGTGCATGTATAGTCATGAAGAGTCACTTAACGTAATTAAAATACAATTACAGTCCCAAAATTTACATGTTTATCATGCTGGCGTGCAAAACTGTAAAGCGAACTGTAAATTCTAGAAAAAGTTTAGAAAGTAAGTGTCGGCTTTAACTGTCACAAAATATTACATATTATATTAAAATTTATATTCATTATCTAAAATGTGTTCTCTTTAAAAATACACTCTTTAAACTCACACAGTACTCATGTTCAAAATAAAGTCATATGCATAAAAAAAAATACTTCAAAACTTCTCTCATCGCAACATATTTAACATTTTGAGCTGTTATAAAATCATGTTTATTTTGGAAATTCTCAGTCATTCTTGCTATATTATTAGAAATGATATTGGATTCGGTAGATAATGCAAATCTCTGTTTTTCCATTTTCTTTTCAGTTTTGTTTTATGTTGTGGCAGATTATGTATTTATATGTGTACTAGCTCCTTATTAGTTCGTAAATGCAGATTATGTGCTTTAATGAGACATGCATTCGAAATTTGCTGGCATTTTTCATAATGTTATGTCTTTTTTTTAGCAGAATTACCAAATTGAAAATTTGCAGGATGTCTCTTTGAATTACATATTCACATTGATTAAAGCATGTTCTGTTTTTTTATTTAATAATCACTAATTACTTAACCTTTTGTTGATCTTTGATCAATAATTCACTAAATAAATCTCTGCAGCAGTCATCAATTAAGCGTATTGATGATTTACTTCATTAAACAAATAGCATAATGTTTATGAACAGCATGGTTTAATTCTTAAAAAAAAAGCAGATGTGCTTTTTTTTTTTTTTTTTTTAGTAAAATGAAATACCACGAATACAGCAGTAACTGAAATATTACATATACTGTACTTTTAAGCAAACAAATTGCTCATTTTACAAAATGATAATTATAATAATATATGTTTATGTTCTTCTTTAGGCACAAGAGAAGTTTGAAATGGACTAACCAAGATGCTGCCCTGCACAGGTCAGTACAGATGATCTTTTTTAAGTACTTAAATGATATGAATTATAATAATAATAAAATATACATATATGTAAAAAAATAAAAGCCTGTGCGTTTAACAATTACATGTGGTTGCTTTATAGTTATTGATTAGATGGTCTGTATTCTAAACTTGGAGATGAAGTTCAAGTTCAACTTGATTTTAATTGTTTAATGAATCAGAAATAGTTTTTAGAAAAGACTAATTGCATGACTTTTTTGGACTGTATAATGAATATAATGCACTTTTGTACGTTCGATCCTGGTGGGAACCCGTTTCTATTCTAATGCACCTGATAGTGTCGCCCTCTAGAGTCCGGCCCCGACACTGCTAGTGCAGGGCCAATTTAACAATCCCATAATCACAAAGCAGATGTCAAAATTCATTTGTAAAAGGCCCAATGCAGTTACTGCACTAGAGCTACATTATTTCACTTTAGCAGCATCACTAAACGGCCTGAAAGAGTAAGTAAGGCAAGACACTATGCATGCTTTTTTTTTTTCATGCACTGGTCAATTTTTGTTTTGGGGATTTTGCTTTTCATAATGTGTTGGCTAGGTCAAATTACACGTTTACGTGCTTATTTTATTGCACTTTATCTATTTGCTTCTGTAGATTTCTTTTACAACATTTTATATTCAATAGCAATTTTCACAAAATGAGTTTGTTTCTCCACTTCAGCAGCACTAGCATACACCACAATCTACCGTTTTATTCCTATCTATATTCTGAAGGATTTTATGGAAGGGTTTGTTCATATGTCATTCGCCTGATTTTATTATTGAACTATCTATTTGCATCTGTAGATTTCAATTACAATGCATGGGATGCATTGAGGTCGTTTTCTCAAAATGAGTTTGTTTCTCCACTTCAGCAGCACTTATATTAACCAAAATGTATAGTTGTGTTCGGTTTTTATAGAGGGGTTTGTTCATATGTCATTTATACAGCGTTTTATTCCTACAAGCATGGTGAAAATGACTTTATCTTGATAGAGACAGAAATCCAGAAATCGCCTCTGTAAAAATGAATGAAGAATTTGAAATGAAACAAGAATTTTGAATCTGGATTCATCCGAGGTTCATATTTATGTTGTGGAAATATATGTGTAAATTATGGGATGCTTTATTAGATAATGCATCGTTTGCTTTTTTAAAGATAGCGTTTCAGAAAACGTTTTTTTTTCAGCAATTCTTAATGTAATCACTCAACTGGGGAAGTATGGTAATATATATGTTTTTTTTTACCATATTCACCTGTGGTATCTTGCCTTAACCCATAGCGCAGCCGCTGTGGACTTATTTACAGATTCAGTCTTGAATGTGAATGATCCATGTGTCATTTTTGTCAAGTCACGACAAAGCTGTGGGTGCTATCAGAGCTCCTGTGTAATTTGTTGGGTAGATGTTTTTGTGCTTTTATTGCTTTCATTTTTTAATAATGTCTTTTCATCCTCCTGAGTGGAGGTCGAGAGACAAACTTGTTCAAAGGTAGTTTGATGTTTTATCACTGACAGCACAATGGCTTCAAATTCGTAGAATTATTAGTTTTTGTTTAATATTTGTCAAAAATTTGGTCGAGCGTGTTAAACTGTTGCCATCATCTTGTTTACAGCTGATTATTATTGCTTACTTTTATAGTAGCTGATAAATCAAGTGTAAGTCATGTGATCTGTGGCTATATTTCTGAGTTTGCTACTCAATGAAATTTGAGTAGAAGAAGAATGGGTGAGAGATGAGCATAAGCAAACGAGATCATCATTCTTACACTTAAGGTTGTTTATTAGTTCCATTAAGAAACTTCTTTAAAAAAAATAAAGGTTCCAAAAGGTTTTTTTTGCAGTGACGTCATAGAGAAAAAAACATGTTTGCTTCTTGAAGAACCTTTCAAAGAAACTGTTTTTAGTAGAACCAATGTTCCCCTTAGTGTGAAGAACATTTTAATAATCTAAAGAACTGTTTTTTTTACTATAAAGAACCATAAAGGTTCCATGGATGTTAAAAGCTCTTAATGGAACCATCAGTGCTAGTTTTTTTGCAGTGACGTCATAGAGAAAAAAACATGTTTGCTTCTTGAAGAACCTTTCAAAGAAACTGTTTTTAGTAGAACCAATGTTCCCCTTAGTGTGAAGAACATTTTAATAATCTAAGAACCAATCTATAAAGAACCATAAAGGTTCCATGGATGTTAAAAGCTCTTAATGGAACCATCAGTGCTAACAAAGAATCTTTATTTATAAGAGCGTATAGTGCCTTTTGTGCAATGGAAATGCATGTTAAAGGTTCTTCGTGGAACCATAAAAGCCAAAAAATAAAGGTTCCAAAAGGGGGGTTTCGCAGTGATGCCATAAAAAGAATCATTTTTGTTTTTCCCCCAAAGAACCTTTCAGAACCATCAATGCCAATAAGAACCTTTATTTTTAAGAGTCGAAAATGGTTCTTTAGATGATTTGAAATATTCTTAACACTGAGAAAAAATGGTTCTTGTGTTCACTGCACAATTCTTTTGGGAGCCCAGAATGACAGTGCTGCCAAAACCCCCTTTTTAAAAGAGACCAAGAAAGAAATAACAGCATTCCTTCTTATTTAGCCGCTTAGTTGTCGCCAACTGACTGCATGTAAATAAGCGCCTTCACAGCATCCATCTGCCCCTCTCAGAGTCATGACCTTGGATCCGGGCCATCAACTTATTTTTTTTTAGCATCAGCAAGCATTGTGACCTCTCTCACCACCTTTACCAGCTGAAATCCCTACTTATAGCAGTGTAATTAACTAATTAATGTTAGTAAAACAAAACTGTTTTAGTAAATGTAGAACAGCATTTATTATTGTGCATTCTTGTTAACTAATGTAGTTAATTAATGTTCAAAAATGAGACCTTATTGTAAAGCGTTACAAACACAGATGTCGCACCGCTGTATAGGTCACATTTTAATATTACGGATATATATGGATATAAAAATGCAGATTTTCCCAGGAGCACCTGATTTAACCTTAGAGCAAAAGAAGTAAAGCAGGTTTGTTCGCTACTAGTAAGCAATGCTAGTTTTACACAAAAGGCCATTGTTTTTACACCCATTGTTTTCCAGAATCTTCAGTTGCTTCATTCATGTATTTGTCATATAAATAATTAGGCCAAAAGCAACAGCTAGAAGTTGCAAATGGAAATAATCACTTGAGTGAATATTTACTCGCATCATTTTAGAGTTAAACTTGAATGACTGTTTTGCATCTAGTAAATAATATGGTGAATGTGTTTCCATCATAGCATATGCACTTCATGGTAGTAAAAAATTGTAAAAAAAAAAAAAAATATATATATATATATATATATATATTTAATGTACTTTTTAAAAACAAAAAAATGTTTTGTTTTATTTCAATCCAGTATTTTTATGCAATTGTCCCAAATTTGAATAAGAATGAGTGGATGGACATCTTGTTGTTGTTTCATATTCAAGGAGAGGAGTTAAATAAGTTTGTTCGCTACTAGTAAGCGATGCTAGTCTTACACAACAAGCCCAGGATTGTCTTGGTACCAGTTACTGCTGCCCTCCTGCTTGGCTTTGGCATAAAACACCATCCATATTGCTGTGTAAAAATGAATTATGAACTATATTGCATAACTGTACCCAATGCACGCAAATTTCCATGCCACCCCCTGTAGGAGCGCAGCATAGAAATCTCTCTGAGAGTTCCTCTCCCTCCAACCTGTGTATGCTTACATTTCCACCGAGCAGATGGCCACGCGGCATGGGATCTCGCGCGGTGTGACACGCTCACATATGAAACGGGAAGACTTCACATGCGGGCCCCTAAAGGAGAAATTTGGGTTGTTTTCTGATTGAATGTCTCTCTGATTGAAAGTGGGTTTTTTTTAGATCATGCTACGTTCCACAGCTTCAAGTATAATCTTGATTTGCAATGAAAAACAATAGCCTATATACAATTAGAAACTATGCCGCACATTATTTATCATCTTCCCCCAAAATTACCCCCACAAGTTCTTCCAAAAATGACAATTTGCTGAAAGTTTACTCACCCTCAGTCCATCCGAGATTAGGATGAGTTTGCTGCTTCATCAGATTTGGAGAAATGTAGCATTGCATCACCTGCTCAGCAATGGATGTGAATGGGTGCCGTCAGAATGAGAGTCCAAACAGCTGATAAAAACATCACAATAATCCACACCACTCCAGTCCATCAGTGAACATCTGGTGAAGCCAAAAGCTGCGTGTTTGTAAGAAATTTAGACGTTTTAATTTTAAACGGTCTCGTCCGACTAAAATACAAGTCCATAATCCAATATGTTTTCTGAAGTGAAAAAGTCATCTGGTCCGAATCAGGAGAGAAATCTGCACAAATTAAGCACCGTTTACAAGTCAAAACAGTCCTGAACAAATATGTGGGTAGATTTTGATATTAGAGTGCAACAGGAGATGGACTTTTTCACTGGAGGAAGCGTTATTATGGATTATGGACTCATTGACTAGAAGCAATGATTTGACGTTAAAACGTCTTAATGATGGATTTGACACGCAGCTTTTGGCTTCTCCAGATGTGAACTGATGGACTGGAGTGGTGTGGATTACTTGTGGATTATTGTAATGTTTTTATCAGCTGTTTGATCTCTCGTTCTGACGGCACCCATTCACATCCATTGGTGAGCGAGTGATGCAATGCTACATTTCTCCAAATCTGATGAAGAAACAAACTTCAGGCGGGGTATGAGGCCACAGAGGGCGATTTCAATCAAGCAAAGGCTTTCTGAATCACAAAACATGGCTGGTTGATATAGCAGAAAGTTGGTCACTGTTCAGATGCTAAGCCACGAGAAATTTGATCCTACACGGACGTAGGAACAATTGGAAAAGCGCATTTTTAAATCTCACTCACTCATATAAGAAATCTTAAGAACTAAATCATGTGTTGTCATTAAAACATATTTTAGGCCTAAAAGAAAGCTAGTTGTGAATTTAATTAATTTTCAGTCATATTATTTGTCAAGGTCAAGTCACAAGACCTATTTGATGTATATTTAGTAAATTATTTGGTAAATGTGTTAATCGTAGTTTATGCACTTCATCTTTTTGCAAGATGAAAATTATCATCAAAGTTGAAATAAAAACAAAAATGCACATACATTTTTAATTCGCATTTTAAGTTTTATTTGAAAAATCTTATTTTTCTTTACTTACATTTTTTACTTTCTTTATTTGTTGTTTTTTATTTTATTTTGTTTTATTTGTGTCCAATCAAGCATTTTATGCAAACATTTTATTTTTATTTATTGTTTGTTTGTTTTGATACACATTTTTCCTTGCTTGAGATAGATAGAAATAGATGGATGGATGGATGGATGGATGGATGGATGATGGTTGGATAGATAGAAATGGATGGATGGATGGATGGATAGATGATGGATGGATGGATGGATAGATATAAATGGATGGATGGATGGATGGATGGATAGATAGATAGAAATAGATGGATGGATAGATGGATGGATGGATGGATAGATGGATGGAT